CCCAGCCGTTCTTGCCCGTTTTGAATCAGAACTAGGGCAAGATCTAGGCGCCCGGCGGGGTGGTAGTGTAGATGAACAATGGGATCATATTAGCCGAGCAATGCACTCCGCAGCGAACTTGCTTGTGGATCTGAAGCAGTACCCCCCCCCCCCGAGGCATTGGATACCTGACGAGTCAGTAGCACTGATGGAGAAAAATCGGCAAGTACCCAACGCTCGCGATCAAGGTAAGGTTAGGAGGCGTCTGCAACGTCATCTTACGAGGAGCCTCAAGAAAGACCGTGAGAACTGGTGGGCAACGATAGCTAGGGAAATGGAAGTAGCGGCTGCATCAGGGAATAGTCGGAGACTGTTTCAACTGATACGCAATACGGGAGGNGAGGTCGGTCAACCACAGTTAGTGAAACAATCTGCGACAAAAGTGGGCAAGCTATTCACAATAGGGAACAACGGCTTGTCCGGTGGGCGGAGTACTTCAACGAACTGTTCAGCTGGCCAGGCGCTAACCAAGATATCTCCTCCAATGTAGCTGAGGCTCCGTGGTCAGTCATCCAAACCTCTGCAGCAGAAGTTCCTTCTTGCATCCAAGCCCTGAAGAAAGAAAAAAACAGCAGTGCCGGACGGGCTTCTTCCCACTCTTTCCAAGATGGGGTCGATGACTTCATATTTTCCATTACTGATATATTGCGTGACATCTGGTCACACAAGTGCATTCCATCATCCTGCAGCGAATCATTGATCGTTCCAATTTTTGGAAAGGGATCTCGCAATGACTGCGCAAACCACCATGGAATAAGTTTGATCCCAATCGTCACCAAACTACTAGTCTCCATTGTACTTCGACGTCTGACACCGTTTNGTTGTATCGATCATATCTTCACTCTGCGTCAAGTCCTCGAACTACGCCATACGCACCGTCGACCAACGGTTGTCGTGTTCCTTGACCTAAAAGGAGCCTTCGACTCAGTTGACCATGAATCCCTTATGGGTTCACTCCTTCGCAAAGGAATGCCGCAGAAGTATGTGAATATACTAAGTTCGCTCTACTCACATACTTCTGGTAGCGTAATGGTCTACGGCGAGCGGAGTAGATCGTTTGTGACTAGCAGCGGTGTTCGTCAAGGGTGCCCTCTTTCTCCATTCCTGTTCACTTCCGTCATAGACAAAATACTGGAGAACATACTTAGTGGTCTCCAGAATGTAGGTATTGAATGGGTATCTATGCGATTTGAATTACGCTGGCGACATCGTTTGCTTGTTGGAATGTACGGAGGATGCACAAAAAGCACTTGACAGATCAGCAAGTTCTGTCGCTCCGTTCGGCGTACGTTTTGCACCTTTAAAGTGCTAAATAATGCTGCAGGTCTGGGTGTCGCCGAGTTATGTTCTGAAATTAGGCGATCAGGAATTAGCTGAAGTTGACTGCTCCTCGTACTAAGGTAGCTGCGTGACCAACGACGGTAGCGCATCGAAGGAGATAACAGCCCGCATTTCCAAAGCTCGAGCGGCGTACGCAGGACTTAAAAACTTGCGGCGGCTACGTGACGTTTCACTGAAGTTGAAAAGTCGCGTATAGTGCGCCACTGTACGATCATTTCTGCTGTACGGTTGTGAGACCTTGAATTATGCGGGTAGAAGACACCCGTCGTTTAGCAGTGTTCGACAATCGCTGCCTACGTAGTCTGGCCCAAGTGGGATGAAGTGAGCGGGTTAGTAACTTAGGAGTAAGTCGTCGGGTGTTTGGGAATGCATCGAACAAGAACTCGCTATCGCATCGAATCCAGATCAGTAGGCTCCGTTAGTTGGGATACGTTTTGCGTATGTCCGACGGTCGCCTACCGCACTGCGCCTTATTCGCAGTGGCTGTTGCAGGCTGGAAAAAGCCACGTGGAGGCCAGCAGATGATGTGAAAGCGAGGCATGAAGAAATGCACGGAGCAATTGGGTAGAGTAGATGTAACGGAGTTGTTTATATAATAGATGAGAACTTGTAATGTCGCAGATCACACGTTTAATTGGCAGATAAGCCAGAAGATAACACCCTAATGATGGGCTTTGACCGACCAAAAACGAGGCATGAGAGCTAAAACAGGACAAGCGAAATATTAGAATATGCACCCAGAATAACAACAGTCTATGCAATAGAAAGGACAATAATAAATCTCTCGTCTTCCGTTTTGGGGTACAAAAGACCGCATGGTTGGAAGGTCATCGCTGAGAACCGTCAGCAATGGTGATCATGCAATCACTTCTTATCAGACCGGAATGCTTCAGATGGTATGTATTTTTTATTACTTATTATTTATTTCGTCTGATGAACAACANGGTAAACCCCATAGTCACAAGGAACTACTGTTCAGTGACGGCACCCGGTAACCTTAGCCCCGGGACTTGGAGTGGCGAACCACATAAGGCCCCGAAAGGTTAGCCGTGGCATTGTATGCATACTTAGACTGTTTACTATGTGTGTTAACCATAGAGGTTCGCTTTCCTCTCCCTTCCCTAAAAAGTAGACCCATTCCCTATCCTCGTTACACATTCTCATGCAAGTTGTCTGCAATATGAGTTTGGCAGCGATCAGTGAAGTCCGCCTCACTGTATTACACTGTACAATGTTGATAATGATGATGATGAGACTAGCGGTGCGTTAAAACGTTCTCAGCCGCAGTCTAGGCCGCTCATAAAATAAATAAAAGCCAAGGGTGGTCAAGCTAAGACCTGGCACGAGGGTATGAAAACCCNNNAGACTGGGTCACATGGGACCCGTTAGGCTCCCTGGATGGGGACCTCGGGATGATCGTAACCGATGGTTAGAGACACCGAGTGATATGGCTGGGTGTCGTAAACAGTGGCGTTCGTGCNAGACCACTGAACTTCTCCATTTTCTGTTCGAATCCACTTTCAACTTTCCTTTCCTCTCCTACACTTCATCCAAATGGGCAGCCAAAAGACAGCAACCAAAACCGGCGCACGAATATGCATGGTTGATGGTTGTACAAACTGAACTGAACTGAAAAATAAATCATCATAGGAGCTACTGGGGCTAGGTAGCGTACACATGTTTAAGGAGCTCGATAAGCACTGGTTAAACATATTTCCCGAAATAAACGTGTAGGATTAGATCTGGTAACAGTGATAGGTTCTTCCATTTACTAACCACCGCTAGCAGGGAACGCTTTCAAAAGTGAGGTCCCTCACCTGAACAAGGGAAGAAAATGTTCTTTCTTTTTCTTTGCATTGGTGGAGACGACTGGGACAAGCAGAAACCGCGAGGAACTTACAGTATAGAGCACTCACAGTAGTAGGAGCCATCACGTGGGTTTATCACCGAAGGAACGCTGGACGCTCGAGTGACCGTGGCCATCTCCCGTCCTGTGCAAACTGAACTGAATTGCGAGTTTCACATGTTCCTCATACAAGATCTGAATCTTCAAATACGAAGGGCAGTGGAAAATCTCCAGTAGTAGCCCCATCACTATGCAGATGTTTTTCATTCATTGACAGACGACAGACCAACGGCAGACCGTTAGACTTCATCTCGTGGAACGTCAGTGCATGTCCCCTGATGCGATTGTTGTTCCTCGTAGGGAATTCCTATTGTAGTTCAAAGCCATTTCGCCTCAAATGCTGCGTCTGGTGTAACTCAGATCACCTCTCAGTCGTCTGAATGCCATGGGAAACAACCCCGTTGCCACTAGTCGATCTTCATGGCTGATCCCACGTAGTCCTACGATGAGGCGTGTAGCAGCCCGTTGAACTCTTTCCAATTAGACAACCTGAGAAGCCGGACAAGGAAAAACCACCGGGACACCATATTTCAGTCGAGTGCGTACCGGTGTGGTAAACAGCAATCTAAAGGCTGCCAGTGGGTAGTGTAGGATGCACGAGAAACCAGAACGAGGAAGGCCCAAACGTTAGGCTTTATTCGGCATAGAGCGTACGTATGGAAGCTAAAAAAGGAGGGGAGATATGAGTCAAAAAAAGTGATATACAAATTATTATGTCACAGTGATAATATATGTTTAATTAAGACTCCGTCACGCTAAAATAAAAATAAAAAATAATGTTAGGTGATCGGAATGATAATTTCCAATGATTTAATCTACCATTAGGAATCACTTGACAGAGTTCTGTGTTGTATTTAGTAGTGTTTAATATCTTGATTCGTGTTTCTCAGTCGAATGCAATTTCTTCTTCAGGTTTCTATTTCAAAAATTATTGAGTGCCATCCCCCAGATGAGTTATCCAGCTTCCTTTTTGTCCCCACACGCTCGTTCTCTCCTCGCACGACGAAACTATGCCAACATATGTGTCGAGAAAATTCCGTGCGAGAAAAATGCTCCATTTATTGTCGAATTTGACCTCCTGCACGGATCCGTAATAGATGCTCTGTCCAAAAAATGCTACGAGGCTGCTTTGGATGCTTTGGAACCACAAATTCACCGGTGTTACTTATCATTGCGTCAAATTTCCCCTTACATACTTTACTCCCAATTTTCCCACTTATTGACTTGGTTATCTGACCCGGCAGAGTTTTTAGACATTTTCGGTCGACTCTCAGGATCAAATTCTTGTGATAAGTTGCTCATAGCCATTCGTCTGTTCGCCATCCTGGAATTT